CCCCCTCAGCTTACTCCCCTATCTGTGGAGACGTCCTGGTAGCGTGAGCGTTAGCATGGTAGCGTTAGTATGGTAGCGTTAGCGTTAGCATGGTAGCGTGAGCGTTAGCATGGTAGCGTTAGCGTGGTAGCGTTAGCGTGGTAGCGTTAGCATGGTAGCGTTAGCATGGTAGCGTTAGCATGGTAGCGTTAGCGTGGTAGCGTTAGCTTGCCGACGTGGGCACACCTCCCTGAAGAAGTGGGTGGATTGCCTGTGTCTCATTTGCATTTAAAGAGACAGGCACTCCAAAGCGAGCGCTCTGAACGGGGCTGTTTTGGCAGGGGGACTGAACTGCTATTGGGCTTCATCCTTATGGGATTTTGACCAAAGCTTGTCACAAACATTACATTAGGACACCAGGGAACTAGTTTCACTTGTTGAAAAAGGGTATAATATGTCTCCTTTAAGCCTGTTTGTTTCCTCTAGAGGAGCTTTCGCCCCGCCTTTGGGGGGGCGTCCTGACAGGAACATACCGGTGACGGTGACCGTGTGGCTGAGGCTGCTGGTCTCCGAATCGATGTGAAGCGTTGTCAAACTGGCCACCTCGTGCTCTTCAGAAGCCACGCCCCCTCCCAGGCTGTCCTGGTCCAATGAGCTGCCACGGCCCCCCCCTCCGGACGCTCCTCTGGCACCAGCCGCTCCTCCACATGCGTCCGAACTGAAGGTAAAGTCTACAAAAGAAAAAGGGTTTATCGTCAGTTTCTGTTATAAATCGCAGTTTCTTGTATTCCTAAACCTGACAAACGCTGTGACTGTAGTCTTATCCAAATGAAAAATAAGGGACGGGTCTAATCAACCAGAGGAGATCATTAACATCCACATGTTAAAGTGACCCTGCCCTGAATTGTACATTAGTTTTGGTCTCAGGTGTGAGAACTGGAACATCAGCAAAAACATGACCTATAAAACCCTTTTTTTCTCAACCAGACTTCTATAATGTTCAATTAAAAGTATTTTAATTCTTTATTTTTAGCGCTTCCAGTTTCAAAGATTTATTCTGAGATGACTTGTGGTGAAACAAAGACAAATAAAAACATGAAAACATCATTTTTTCCAAAGTAACTTAAGGTTTCTAAGTGTCTAATAGTAAATTTGTGGTGATTTACTTTCGAATTTGCAGGTGGAGTATTGAAAGGCGTTGAAAGAGTCCGATTGGCTGTCGGAGCTGATGACATCAGAGCCGCTGGCACTGGCGGGCGACGTCCACTCAGAGGGGACCCCCGGGTCGTCGATGGGCCGCATGTCGTCGGCGGGCCGTGACCCGGGACTGTGACCGGCCTCCAAGAGCTCCGGCAGGTCCCTGGGAACCTCCAGGCTCCCCGGGCTGCTGCCACGGCGACCCTGCGTTTAAACAACACCGAGTGAGCTCCAGTTTCGACGAATCGGGATGTTTGGATGATTTTAAAAGTGTGCACGTTTGAACACAGACCCCGGTCCCTTTGGCCCTCAGCCTCTCCTGGATGAACTCATCCA